GGAGGAGGAGGTGGCAGCTAGTCCAGGCAGTGGCCCATGGAGATCCTCTCCTGCTATGAAGTCCTGGGTTCATTTCTTTTCACCTGCCCACCCTGATGCTGGCCTTCCAGCTTACCTTCCTCTGAGGCTGTGGGCACTGGCCAGAGGCTTCCTCTAGGCTCTGGCCTCTCTTTGGAGGCGGGTAGCCCTCTCGCCTGCATGGCTTCAAGTCTTCCGGCCTTCTTATTTCTTGACAGCCTTCCTTCTGAGTCAACTCCACACCTCCCAGACAAGCACTGCCCTCCATGTCCCTCACCTCCCATGGCCTGGGACCCTGAGACCTGAGCTGAGCTGCCTTCCCCCTGTTGAGGGCTCCTTCACAGCCCAGCTGCTCTTGCCCCACCCCAGCCCTCCTCCTCCTGAGATCCCTGCCTGCTGCACAACAGAGAAGCTTCGGGAGAGGGTCTCTGCAACAGAGCAGGGGCCCAGGAAGTGGGCTGTCCCTCAGCACTGCAGGTCAGAGCCCCCTGGTCCTCACGGGAGTGACTGACACCTGCTGGGAGCTCGTGCTTAGGAGTAACACCTGGGAAAACAAATGGAACTTGTGGCCTTGGGCACCACAGATCCTTATTGCAAATGCCTGAGGAGTGAGACAGGGAGAGAGGGGCCCTCTGAGCCCCGCGGTGAGCAGCCCTAGCCTAGGCGGCTCACTAAAGAGCTGAGTAAATGAGCACTGCCGAGCAAGGGGAGGGGATGTCTGCTCAGACCCACAGGGACTGCCATAATGGAGTCCCTCCCTAAAGGAGCAGCGGAGCCCAAACCAAGCCTGATTCACTATCAATCTATAAAAATCTCCTGAGTACCTCCTTTAATTTGGTTGTCAAATTATTCGGTGCTAACATCGCATGGTGTACAGCACAGATCCATTAAACCAACTCAGGTCCATGAAGCCAAACGGAGCCTAGGGTTGCCAGCAGTTTGTGGGAGGGGAAGATGAACAGAGCCATCTCCTGTTCAAGGGTCTTGCTGATTGAATGGGGATAATGAGAGCTGGAGTTGCCAGGGGCGTTTCTATGGAGAAGCTGCTACACACAACATCCTTCATCACCTTCAACCAAAGGACAAAAGGAAGACATCTTGCGCCTATAGTTCTGCTGACCATGTCACCCGAAACCAGAAAGCATGAACTAATCAGCAACACCACGAGGTCCCAATTACACTGAGTCCAAAAGGAGGGAAAAGTGAGCGGCACTCACTGATACGACGTCAGCACTAGGGGCAGGTGTCCAAAGCCAAAGGTCTCTCGGAGGTTTGTTCCTCCCTTCTAACTAGGTTCCATCTTTGCTTCTGAACCACTGAACCCTGCCATGTGACTGGCGTGTCCTCCTTGCCTATGGGCCTCAGGATGACCCTAAACGCTGCCAGGACCTAGTCACGCATGAAGAAATGGACAGAGAAACCTATGCTAGAATGACCTGCTTGGATGTTTCTCATCATTTTTCCAGGCTGCAAAGACCCGGGCTAAAGTGTGGACGTCAGGTTCCATATGCCTGAGCCAAGCCCCGGAACCGTGTCACGTTACCACCCGCATGCTCTGTCTCCTCCCTCCTGTGCCACAAAGGCTCTGGTCAAGCACGGACCATCTTCATCTGTATGGTGCAAATAAAAAGGACCTGCCTCAGGTGGTCCTGGCAGGTACTGACTGTCTCTTAACACCTGGATAGGTCACCAGGAAGACTGACAGATGGTAAGAGCAGGCCCAGCATGACCTCCGGAAGGGCTAATGTGATCATGCACACTGCCGATGGAGGTTCAGCACCACCATCTCCACATGGGGCATAAATATCATTTCCCCAAACCCAAAAAGGAAGAGAACACATGGGTTGCTACTAAAAAACAAAACAAAACCATCTTCTGTTGGCTTTCTCAGCCTCTAAGTGTTCTCCATATTCTAGTTCTTGCTCACTATAATTAAAACGTTTATTTCAGGATTAAAACCATATTTAAGCCCTTTGGATCTTAGTATTTAAGTAAGATGATAAATTTATCAAAAGGAAAGATGCACCAGGGAGCTACCAGTTTGCTTTTGTTCTGTGATTCTGCTGGAGGTTTCCCTCTTAAGGTTCTCAGATGGGCTTCCCGAGGGACCTCTCCCTGCCTCTGGTCTTCAGACCCTGTTTTGAATGTTCTTACTCAGGTGTTCCTGGGCAGATCACGTGCTTGCACCCGGACCCCCCCCCCCCCCCCCCCCCCCCCCGAACCAGGAAGGTCGGACTGACCTTGACTTTCTGTTGGTGGTGGTAAATCTGCCAGGCGATGTGAACATGCATAGCACACCACTTCCCTGGTTTCTGGAACAAGAAAGAGCAAAGTGGTCAGAAGGAGACGTTTCAGGGAAACCGCCTGCAAATCCCCCAAGCTCTCAGCAGATTCTGGCTGCAGAGACTTTTTTCATGAAACAAGAGAGCTTTGTGCCTCCAAGAGCCTCCCGTCAGCAACCATGCCGGGCCCAGCCATCAGGGAGCCATAATCGCTCTCCCCCTCTTCCTGGGGCCCAGACATCGGCCACCACTCAGGAAGCCATACTTGACAAGGACCCCCGGTTACCAAGGACAAGATGGGAAAAGCCTGAATCCCACTTTGTGCCTCTTCTTTCTTTTCTGGTGCCAGCTGGCAGACCTGGTGAAGTAGGAAGTCCTACTTAACAAATGTGGCTATGCTATAATACAAATCAGCTGTTCACAAGGGCTAATTAGGGAGCGTCAGAATCAAATCAAAACAAGAAAGGGCACAGGACCTGTCATAACCTCCTCATGGTTGTTGCTTCTTTAACCCCCAAAGCGGGGCAATGGAATCCATCCCACTGCTGTTGAAGTCCAGTGACCCCATATGCTTCATTAAGAGCTGACCACTCATTCATGCTGGGACACTGTTCATGTCCAAGAGAAGGGGAGGGGCGGGGAGGGGAGGGGAAGGCATTCTTTCCTCCCTACTCTCCAGGCTTCTGCAATACCAAGTCCCTCCTCCACCCCTGGAGGAGTGCAGATCAATTTGCATCTCCCAAATCATTCCATGCCTTGGTTTCTGAGCAGTGGGGTGACGGCAAGTGCCTCTCTTCTGCCACTCGGGGCAGGGACCACCTCTTTCTGCTTCCTGCCAAGCAATCTCCTCTTAAGCCTAGAGTGCATGCGCGGTAACTACTGGACAGAAGGAAAGAACTCCATTCTGCACTGGCAAAGGACAGAAGCTTCGGGTTTCTGTAGTAGGAAGCTGTTCCTGAAATACAGACTCAGGACTTTTCTCCTGTCATGGACTGACAGGTTGTTTGACATCACAAGTACCACACTGCCTCACCTAAGTGAGGACACAGACCTCCTGTTCCTTTTGGAGAAGGTGGATTATCTGAGAGTATGCACCAGAAATGGGTGGGGACTGCAGGAAGTCTACTGCCCATTATCTACCACTCAGCCCGGCATGGGGAAGTTGGCATTCACAGAGGGGCCATCTGCTGGCCAGGCACCAGACCTCAGGACGTTCTGCTTTAAACAAGACTTTAAACAACCAATGCTCACAGTATCCTTTCCCACACCACAGAAACAGGTCAAGTGGCTACGAAAGTCAATAGCACCTCGTGCTGAACCAGGGAGCCACAGCAGAGCATACCCATCCAGGTAAGTATGCATTTCCTAAAGACACTGACTGCAGCCCGTCGCTCAAGTCTTCCTCCCTGAGATCCAATCAGACTTTCTACCAGACCTGCTCACACCAGAATCAGACTCAGCTCTACCAGTTACATAAATAAGAAGCCTGTGGCCTGGCTTCCTCCACTGCCCAAAGCAAAACAACTCGGTCACTTGCATCATACAGGACCTGAAAATCCAACCATTGTGCCACAGCCTGCTGGGTAGGCTGGCTACAGACTTGCGTTTCCAACCCACAGGGAGTCAAACAGAGGTTGTAAAACAGTGCTAGAAGAGGCTTTCTTACCCTTAACATAGGTCTGAAAGGATCTGTCAACTGTGAAGAGAAAATGACAACTTGGTTACACGCCTGTCACTCAAACAATTGCTCTAATTAACAAATTTGTAGTGCTTCATTAGGAGGGGAAATTAAAATGTTAGAATTTTACTTTTAAATGAAGCCCTTTTGGAGAATAATTAACCCATTTTCACACTATCAAAAGTGCCAAGTGTCCCCTCCCCCACTGACATCACTGACGACAACCCCGTACAAGTTTAATCAACAGCAGCGTGTCCTGGGTAGCCTGGCCCTGGTGCTGCCCAGCCTGAGGCTCCCGGGGGGCAGCCCTTCCACACCACACCGAGGGTGCGGGGGAGAGCAGGCTGAAGAGGCAGACTCAGGGTCAATGCTGAGGGGACGCATGGGCCAGCCTTTCTGCAACAAGAGTCACTGCGGGGGTGGCCGCTCTCGGGACCTTCAGCCCGAAAAGCTTCAGCCCATCTACATAGCTCCCGCCATCAGCTCCAGCTGCCCTTACCCAGGGAGGAGACAGCACTGGGATGGCGATCGTTCTCTCACATTTACTATAAAGATAAATGACCGTTGTCGAGACAAGATTGTACCTCCTGTGGAACTTCAAGTTCTTTTTTGGGAGTAGGTGCAGTGTAGACCATTAATAAATGACATTACCAAAGCATCATGGATATTTTACTCAGCTCTAGAGCACAGGGGATCCCGGCCACATTAAAAGCAGAGGGCCAGAGGAGCCATGGGGTCTGGGATGTCCTGACCTTGGGTAGCGGGTGGCGGGGGCTGATGTCCAGCAGGAGAAGCACTCAGTGCTTGTCCATCCAGAGCACCCACAGCAACATAAAGACTTGCAGACAGAAAGGCTTGGTCAAGTAGGAACTGGAGAAGCCACAGTGTCCACTTTCTAGGCTCAGATCACAAGCCCGTCCCCCTCCTTTTGCTGGGAAGTCAGCCTTCCGGTGTCACTCACGGGGCAGGAGAGAGTGTCTTCCAGGAGGAACTGGCACTCTCTTGCACAGGTGGGGAGAGTCCCTTCCCCGAGAGCAGCTCTCTCAAAGGAGATAGGAGGGTCTCGCACAGGATCTGTCCCCTGCACACACCCGGGTTACCTGAGACCAAGCCTGACTTGGCACGTACCCGTGGGTCCTTCTGAAGTAAAGTGTGTGGGACTGTCCCGGGCCGAGCAGCAACATCGATAGGGTTGGATGTCTACAAATTAATTAGACCACAGCTTAGGAAGCACAAAACACGGGACATGAAGCAAAACCTTTCCTCCTTCTAAATGAAGAAGTGAGACTTCATCTGTTTCATTCTAAATCACAGACTCATTTTTCTCAGTGAGCACGTGAGCTTGTACAGGGCTGCTCCCTGTTTTCTCAAGCGCTCTGACCAGAGGCTGCTCTCTTCCATGGCATCTAAAGCAGAGAGGTGGCCTCCAGCACCAGCCACCACAGTGGAAGCCACAGGACCAAACAGGGCAGCCACGCATGGAGAGGCTGGCCCGGACGCCTCCTTCCCAGGTGGCCCAGCTCTGGCTGGCCGCCTCTCTGCCCCCTCCAGACGTTCCAGGAGATGCTCAAGTGAACACTGCCATCGTTTGCAGTGTCAGGTGCTTCTCATCAGAAGAGCTGACAGCACTGCGCAGACATTAAGCCAACGCTCCACGTTTTAGCTGGCAGACAATAACAAGAAATTACACTCAGTAATGACTCATTAGCGGTGGTGGAAATGGGACAAGAGAACCCAACATAGGGACCACACAGACGCAGTATCAAATTCTGCCTGTGTCTCCCCTATCCTACCTCCCTTCTTACACACCACTCATAATATTAACCTATCTGTAGGCTTTTGTCCTTTGAATGAACAACAACCAAAAGCCTACTTCCGGCACAGTCATTATGGTCTTGTGGGAGAAGGATTTTAAAACTATGTAACACCAGTTATTTAGGAAATCACAACCTCCAGGACACCCTCCCCCCAACACACACACCAGAAGTTAACTCGTGTGGAAAAGGAGCTCAAGTTCAGGCACCAGGCTCGACACCCTGGTGAAGGGGGAAGGAATGAAAGGAAAGCAATCAGCTGCGGCACAACCAACAATTAAGCTGGAGTTGTTAACAGCCTGATTTGCATACATATGAAGAACTCCACTAATGAACTGCAATCTACATATTCAATCAGGAAGGTGGCCTGGAAAGGCCTATTTCCACACCAGCAGAGGTTCTCTCCTGCCCAGATGCAGTTTTCTGTGTGATTGGATAATTGTGAGTGAGGGAAATAGTCTAATTTATTAAATGACCTACCAGTCTGTTTGGGGATGCACTAGAGATTTGTCCCAACCTAGAAGGGATGGACCAGGGTCTGAGGGAGCAGTAAAGAGCAGGCTCGGGGAAGGAGTTGAAAACCGCCGTCTTCGATCTCCAGATAGGAGGCACTTGGCTGAGCCACTGTAGAGCCCTCTGCACGTGTGACGTCACACATCAGGGGCACTCAGAGCAAGGGGACGAGGCCTGGAGGGCAGCCACCCCACCCCAGGGCCTCTGTCCTCCTCTCCAGGTGTAATACGTCTTGGGCAAAACAGCAGGTACCCATCCTGGGAGGCTGGCCCCACCCTGGTGCTCACCTCAGAAATGGGATGGAGAGAAAAAGAAAACCACATACCACAGAAAACCTCCCCTGAAAAATGTGAGAATGGTTTGCAACTAGAAGATGCGTCACTTTGGTAAGAGAGTAAAACGGGCTGCAGTTGATTTTAAACATGCATGTCCTGAAAGTCCCTCTCAAAAATGTTTGTGACCTTGGCAGTTTGAACGCTGAGAGCCAGCGGTAGGAGAAGCACAGAACCAGGAGGCCAGAGGTGCAGCCTCCGCTCCAGCAGACCCGCATGCCCAGCTGGGGCTGCGGAGGACAGGGCGGGCCAGGAAGGGAATCTCCCCAATACAACAACACAGACTGCTGCACCCCTGGGACTTCAGTCCAGCCTCTTCTTTGGAAAACTGACAGGCCCAGCCTCCCATCTCTGCCTCAAAAGTCAGCTGGGCTCAGAGGTCATGGCTCCCTGGACAGAAGCCCATGCCCGTGGTGGCATCTTCCACAGGGCACAGAGGCTCAGCTGAGATCACGTGGGAGTACCAACTGAAGCCTCAATTTTTGCTGAGGCTTAAAACTAAATGGACTAGAAAAAAATCCTCTCACTCTAATCTCTGGGTCACTTAGGATCTGAGAAGTCAGTCACTGTGCAGGAAGAAGAGGCAGACCCCCTCGTGCCCAGCAAGACACACCCCTGGGTCTTCCCTGTGCCCTCCTTACCTTGGGCTGAAATGCTCCTTGTAGTGAACCAAAAGGGCCCGTGGGTGGGATCATGGGGGGGATGCCCGACACTGCAGGAGGGTAGGAGTGGAAGAGCTGCGGCCAGAGACGAGAGGAGAAAACGGCTTTAGTCGGAGGCAGGTGACATGTTCACATTCCCCTCCCACAGAAAGACACCAACAGGAGCAAGCCAGGCAACTCAGCCAGGTGCCACTAGTGAAGAGCCAGGATGGGGAGGGTGATCACACAGATGTGCACGAATGTCTGATTTAAAAGTAGTTCAGAATCAATCAGGCAACAAATGGTGTCCCAGATGAGAACGCCATTAGAAAGGGAGCTTTCTAATTATTAATTGGTGAATCACAATCGAGCCCTAAATGGGTAGAGGTTTCAATGCATATCCAAACCGGGAGGGATGCTGGGCCGATAAAATGCCCAGAAAATCACAAGTTAATTAGAAAAAAGAAAAAGAAGCAGTTCCTCATGAGTGCCAGGATTTTATACCATTAAAACTCAATTAGTGCTTTTAGATTTTTAATAGTTTGAGGAAATGAGAACATATTCACAATCCTTGCTTCATTAGGTTGTTCTAGAAGTGGCAGTTCCAGAGGACAATTTAATTCTCTCATCTAAAATGATGACAAATATTTGTGGAAGGGTAAAATAAAATGACTCAGTTTAAACTTTAAATAGAGCTGCCAGTTCTCCTAAAAGGTAGATTACAGAAGCCTGGGAATATTATCCCATGTAACAAATAACATGTGGGGCTCCCCCAGGACTGCTGGGCCCGCACGCAGAGCTCAGAGCCATTCTCGCTCTCAGCTCTCCTGGAACTCGGAGCTCTTTGGGATGAACACAAGGCCCTGATTCTTAGGGCCAGCTTTGAATCGTGTCTGCTGCTCAATAGACAAGCTCACTGGAGGTCATGCAAGCCAAGCTGTTGATGTGTGAGTCTGACCACCTGATGACAGGAAAAGCATGATTTTGAGTGAAAAATATAAATTTTCTTGACTCATTAGCATACAAAGGACATAACTGAAGGAAAAATGTACAGCAATACTGGGAGATGATGTGAGCACATCTTTCCTGCCTCTGGAAATTGTATTACCTCTGAGGTTCTACACCTCTGGGTCCGTTCACTTTGACCAAACCATCATGTGGATATTTAAGTGACACACCAACTCACGGTTGTGTCACATGTCACAGTATGACAATGCACCTTCCCAATAAGGCCCTCACACCAGTCGCTCTGGCAGGGACTGAGACCCACACGTCTCTTTCAGGCTGACTACAGTTGCTCTCTCCAGTGGTGCACAGAGGTTTCAGACTCATTGGTCCTGAACTGAACCCACTTACACAGGGACTGTGCAAGGGTGCCCCCTTCAGAACTCCTTTCAAGTCCAAGACTGGGTTTTAGATTCTTGAGCACGCCCTCTGCCGTCCGCCTGTAGCGTCCTGATCCCAGGGCAAGAGGGACTAAGCACTTCCTTTATCACCCTGTAACTGGCCGTGTGAGGACCCCCCAGGGCCCTGTAGGAAGGAAGTGGAGTGACCAACACCCTCCACCAGAAGTTCGTCCAGGTGGGCAGTTCCCTTCACGTTCATAGTGAAACCCAATGCTCTTCCCACTACCTTTGCTCTGTCCCACTGCTGACCACTAGAAAATAAATATAGCTGAAGACTGTCCCCGCTGGAGAACCAGAGGTCGTGGACACTTTCCAAAGTCCAGACCCCTAGGCTGCCTCGCCAGCCCCAGCCTAGGCGTCTCCGTGGAGTGTGCCCATGGAGCGTGGCTTCAGGCTGCCAACCTGAGCCGCCTCCTGGGCACACTGAGCTCCACAGAAACCATTCTGTGAGCTGGTCCCTCGTTAAATCAGCAAGACACAGAGCAAGGCAAAGTGGCACCACTCATGGGCAGGTCCCAAGAGGGACCCAGGCCTACTGGGTCCTGAATGTCTATCTGAAAACCTTTCTGCATCAGTGCTGAGCAATACAGGTGGCCCACGTGGTGGGTGCAAGGCCCTCATATGCACCTTTCCTTACTGAAGAGGCCTCACGTCACTTCTGAGTGGCTCCAGAGTAAGTGATTCTTAATTGATTTCTAATATTTCCTAGTCTTGATTTCTCAGCTATGCTCTTGACTAATAAAGTATCTAATTATCTATTTAAAGTATGAATGAATTCAGTCTTTGCTGAGCAACATTTCCACCAAAACGAGAACACAATCTAAGAATCAAAATGGGAATAGCTGTAAATGATGAATCAACATGGCTACAAGCAATTATGACTTTTCCTTTTTTCTGGATTCACTTACAAATTAAAAAGAAAAGAAAAAAAAAAAAACCATTGAGCAAATAGACTTGCAAATTTTCAGATAAAAATAATGCAGTATTCATCCCATAATCAAAATATCACAATCAAGTATTCAAGGTCTTTCTATAGAGAAGCTCTTGTCTTCTACATCAATGAACATATAATGGGTTGGTACCAATTTAAGTTCTGGAATGTATACTTAAGATTGCATAAAACTGCATCTTTTAAGCAATGAAGAATTGAGCTTAAGGAGAAAAGGTGCATTCGTTTTAATGTTAAGGCTTTCTTTAATTAAACAATATTTTAATTGTGAAATGAAAATACACTCAGGAGAACAGTATCAGCCATGTGGAAGAGGGTTCTGTATTTAGTCTCAAGTAAATAAAAATCTACTTTTTGAAGAGTTATGAGTCAAAAGAATGAGGGACTTTGTTCAGAGGGAACAGTCAGGCTGAGGTCCCTCTGTGGCTGGCTTTCCACCTGTGGCTGAGGTCCTGTGGCCTCAGGCTCTGCTGCAGCAAGGGCTGCAAAGCTTACACCCCCAGGCAGGGCAGGTTCTGGCTCCCAGGGGACCGTCCTGGCTGTGCTTATGATCTTTTGACTCTGAAGATGATACTGCATCTTTACCAAAAGCAAGACGCCACAAAAGCAAGCATCCACAGGGACGAGCAGCAGCGGGCACGCTGGCGCGGTGACGGGAAGGCCACTGGCCGTGTACTGACTGGGGGAGAGCGCACGCACGGAAAGCAGGCACATTCAACGTGTAGCAGGGAATGCAACTCACACTGTGCCGGTAGAAGGGGTCAACTTTTGTAGGGTATTTGTCAAACTGTAAAGGGATCAAAGCAAAAACTAGTTACTTCATCTGCCTTTGGTTCACTGTTCAGTGGAGGCAGCCTACAGCTTCTGTGTCACTGAGACATCACTAGACCCTGCAACCTCACTGGATAGGAGCCACCTGAGCTCCTGAGCCTCTGGCAACCCCGAGTCCAGTCTGCCCACGCCGCGCTGTGTCTCGGGCCCTGGACGCCTGGTGGTTCCTCTCTTTCTACTCTGTGCTCAGAGGCTGACACAGAGAACACCCAAACTGGAGAGGACAGGCACCTCCAGATCCATCCAGAGAGCCGAGCACGGGGCCTGTCCTCCCAGGATCCCTCCACTTGGTCTTCTCCTTGCCAGAAGAACTGCAGATCTGCCGTTCTCTGAAGTCCATGCCACCCACACAAAGCACTTGGGCTGGGTCTTCTGAACCCATCAGGAGGACTCATCACCCCCGCCCTCATGCCTGTCTTCCTCCAGGATGTTAAGACCTCAGATTGACTCACTGGTGGACCAGCTCACACAGGCCAGCATGATATTTTCTTAAACCATTAGGCCCTTAAACACATGACTGTTGGCCGGGGCTCAGTGGTGGGCTCGCCTAGCACATATGAGGCACTGGGCTTGATCCTCAGCACCACATAGAAAACAAATAAATAAATTAAAGGTATTGTGTCCAGCTACAACTAAAAAGGAATTTAAACAAATAAATAACTGTTGAGAAATACAGTTCTTCCAGAAAAAAAAGACACAGAACTTGCTATAGGACTTTTTTTGTGTGTGTGTGTGGGGGGAGGGGGTGAAAAGGCCTCATCTTTAATATTCCCCTAAATAAAACTTGTAGAACAAACTTTAAAAATGTATGTTAAGAAAAGTAAGTTGAGCCAATGGGTGAGAAGGGGCAGAGGTGGATGAGAGGACCCTCTGTGAATTCCCATCTGCTCTCATGCGGCCTGATGGACTCTCCTCTTCAGGGTTTCAACCAGGCCCTTCTCTAAACACTGGACATAAGTGACAACTGAGGTAGAACTCTGTTAGGGCATTTAAAGATTTAAAGAAGCCTGTCTGAGACCATCCGTTTCAGTTCCCAGTTCCCTGGGTACATGGCAATGCCCAGACACCTCCAGGCTCAGGGTTCAGCCTCTGAATGTCACCCCACAGGGCAGGCAGCTGGCCCCAGTGGCTGTTCCTCCACTTGCCCCTCCCTCCTGGTGCTGTGAGCACCTGGTTCACACTGCTGTCAGGCCACGATGCCAGGTGCCCAGAGAAGGAAGGCCACTAGCAGGTGGACCCAGCACTGGCAAATGCGTGCAGCGGGCACCTGGGTAAGGCGCAGGACACTGCCCCTCGAAGGCCGCCTGGCCTCAGGGCCCACGCCCACGCCAGCCCCACCCTCCTGCACACAGAAGAGAGTGGGCTCTACTTATCCTCACATTTCTGCCTGGGGTACGCACCATGGGAGGTGCTGGCGTCGGCATGATGGCGGTGGGCGGGATGGCGTGGGGGAAGGGTGTGAAGGTGTGCTGGTGCGTGTGCTGGTGCGTGTGCTGGTGCTGGTGCTGGTGCTGGTGGAACTCGGTCCGCAGGTAGGGCGGGGGGCCCAGGGAGGCCCCGCGGTCCGCGCTCTGAGAGGCCAGAAAACGCGTGTTCAGTTCCTGCCGCAAGATGTCTTGCTCTGGAAAAAAAGAAGAGGGAGATGTCGGCACCTTTTCCTTCCGAACGCGACATCTGGGTGCTTTAGCATGGAGGGTGCAGGGCTGAGGATGGGGGCCTGGGGACCAGCTGCATAGCCCAGCAGGTCAGTTCCCCATCCACACGACTGGGATGGCCCTCTGGCCTTCTCGGGTCATTTGGAGGTGGGGGTAACAGGGGGGACGCCTGCCAGCCATGAACGCAGCAGGCTCCCCAGCTGGCCTCAGGGCAGACACACAGCGACGAGGAGCAGCACTGGGACCCTGGCCCGCGACACAGGTGAGGGGAGAAGGACCCCATCTCCCACCAGGTCATCCCTAAATTCTGGGATGCATCATCATAAAAGTGCACCTCTTCTTCACAGGAAGGTGGACGCCCTCAGGCCAGGCCCACGCCCCAGGATGCGGCCTGAGATGCTGGAGAGAAGCAGGCGCGGGCCTGGCAGGCTGTGGCCGCTCTGCTGAGCCGGGGTGCCTGCCGGGCCTCACCCCTCAGGCCTCCTTTCCCACACCCCCCTCCCAGGGCATGGTTGTTTAAGTGCGCCCGGCCTGGCGATGAGGGACGGCAGGGACAGCAGTGAGGTTCCGGCGCCCACCCGGGCCATCCTACCTGAGTAAGTGCTCCCGGCAGGGTGTCCGGGGACCTGCAGACTCCCTGACGTCAGCGGTGGTGGCGGAGGCAAAGCAGTGGGCGGGGCAAACATATTGGGGTGATGCGCGTGAGCCGGGGCCTGGAGGGCAGGGGTGAAGCTGTGCAGGGGGCTGTGGCTGGGCAGGGAGAGGGGGAACGGGGAGGCCGAGGGGTGGTGGGAGAGGTGCGGGGCGGCGGGCTGAGTCTTGGCCGGAGTGCTGCTCCTGCTGCTGCTGTGGAGCAAAGGGAGAAACAGGCGCAGGTGAGCATCTGCGTCCCCACTGCCCTCCCTCCCCTGGGCCTCTCTCTCCCCACCACACAGCCTGGCAGAGACCACTGCCCAGCGTCGCGCACAGGGATGTCCAGGCAGTTCTCTGCTGAGACAGCCCCCCTCACTCCTGTGGCCCAGCCTGCCCTGCCGCCCCCACCCTCCTCGCCATACTTCCTGCAAAGCAGCCAAGGAACAAAATGGAACAGAACCACCACCTGGGTCGCCCATGTCTGCTACTGTAACCCCAGGACCACAGGAAGAGGTGGGCCAGGTCTTGTGCCACAGGAGTGGCCCCGGGTTAGGAGCTGGCCCAGCCCTGGGAGGAACCTGCCTGCTTAGGTCTGTTCTTCACCTGTCCCTGACCCCACCAGGCTTCTAAAAGGAAAACAATAACAAGCACAAGTCTCAGGAGCCCACAGGGCTCAGGGTCACCCTGGACGGCCCCTCGTAGACCAACCAGGAGGACCTGGCTCTCCCCACTGGTTTCTTCTCTGACTCACAAATGAGGAAGCAAATCCCACTGAAAAAAATGCTCAAACCAGCACTGGTCTCAGACTCCTGGGCCTGAGGAGACAACCCTCCCGTGACACCCCTTCTCTCCTCTGAGTCTCCACCTTCAGGGCCCTCGGAGGCACCTTGGCCTCCACTCCCTGCCACACACCTTCAACCGCTTCTTCTTCTTTCATCTTTTGAGATGGGGTCTTTCTATGTGCCCTAGGCTGGTCTCCAGCTCCTGGGCTCAAGCCACCCTCCAGCCTCAGGAGCTGGGACTACAGGCGCATGGCATGGGCCTGGCCACCTGTTGGGTAAGCACCTCTCCTTCCTGCCTCTGTCCTCTAGGAGATCCTGGATAGTTCACTCCTGTGTAGTGTCAACGGCCAACCCAACCGGCTTTCACCCAACAGCCCCTGTCCCTATCTCCTCGCCTCCCAGAGAAAACAAGGACAGTTCTCAACCAGGCCACCCATCTCCTAGGAAGCCCTCACCCAGACTCTCTGACCATCCGGCAAAGGTGGCCGGCGGGCAGAGAGCAGGTTGGCTCACCTTAAACTGTTGAGGCTCAGGCTGCTGCTGTAGGCTGACAGGGGCTGGGGCAGGCCCTGGGACGAGGGGTGGGCCTGCACAGCAGGAAGGTGCTGGTGGAGCAGCTGGGTGGGGGACGGTGGCCTGGGTGGCCGCTGCACCTGAGGCTGTGGGGCGGGCTGCAGTGGGGCCTCCGGGGGGCCCTGCGGGGGCTGCGTACTTGGAGGAGGGGCCGTTGGTGGGGCCTCTGTGCGTGGCACCAAGTCAGGGTCCGGAGAAGGGGCTCGGAGCTGGGGCTCCGCCTGGGGCTGGGGCAGCGGCTGCGGGACCTGAGGGCAGGGGTCCTTAAGCACCACAGGCTCAAAGGCGGGCTCTTTGCAACAGTCTTGGCTTTTCTCCTGGCTTCTCTCTAGACCTGATATCTTGGGGACAATCGGCCCTGCATCCTGGCTGTCATGTTCGGGCAGTGCGCCAACACCTAACTCCGAATCTGTATGGGGGAGAGCAAAGAGAAGTCACAGAATGACACAGGAGCGTGGCACCAGGGGAGCCAGCTCCAGCCTGCAGGCACAGCCAGCAGCCACCCACCACCCCTCCTGAAGAGAAGGGTGCGCTGGCTGGGGATCCCACAGCTGGTGGTCTGCAAACCAGGGCTCCCTGTCCCCAGTCTTTGCAAAGCCTTTCTGAAGCACACTTAAGAAATTATAGCCCACAAGTTGATTTTTCCCTTTAAAAACAAATACAGTTCCTGAATGAGAAGTGTTTTTAATTGCGAATGAAGCAAATGTTACTTAACAACAAACAGATGTTTCTTCTTGGCCTTTCCCCCTCCCCCTTTGCATTGTGACTGAGGAGGCGCACTTGACATTCTTAGAGCAACAAGTTCTTGTTCAGCAAGTGCCAAACTTCCAGGCAAAAGTCAGGCCTCCTGATGTGCCCCAGCCAGCCCAGGGACATCTAAGATCAAACGTGCAAACGCAAATTTAAATCAAGCGTGCCACAGCTACACTCACCAGGCCTTCAGAAATGCCCCTGCACCACGGGATGCTGAGACTTAACTGGATGTAAAATTTAAGTAGAATTCTTCAATTGTGGGGAAAGAATAGAAAATAGATGCTCCCGTATAAACTTAAAAAATAAGTTTCCCTCCTAAGGTCAAAGGACCTAAGTGCCATAACTACTATGATGGCATTGTTGATTATCCCAGAAGCCGAATTCCATAAAATTCTCAAAACAGAATAATGAAAGACCAATAATTACATATCAAGGCACAGCCCAATTTGGAGTAAGTTCTTTGTAGGCATCTGGCAGGGGGAGATCACCTCGACTCCATTTTTGTGCTAAAAAAGATGCATTCTTTCTTTACTACAGTTCAGAAACAGGAAGAGCACAGCTTGCAATACTTTCTGAAATGAGGGCACCTTTGCAAACCTCCTCTTCCACATCTCTCGCCACCATGAAAAGCATGTGCCACTCACGCGGTCTCTCAGTTCCTGCTTACACACTCGTGTGTACACATAGTTTGCATCAGAGCAAGCCAGCATCTTCGGTGTTCGTTTGGTAAGCAGTTCAAACCTGAATCATGCACTAAAGCAGAAACAAGCCCTGGTTCATAAGCGAGGCACCTCCGTGGCTGTGGTGGACGTGGCCAGCTTCAAGCCAACATGCTGCCTAGGTACGAGGGGACAGGGCATCTCGTGAGGCCTGGGGACAAATGACTGCACTGGTGACCTCTGGGCACTTTATTTCTGCCCAGCTGTTTTGAGAACCTTTGTAGAAGATTTCTGCTTACAATAAAGCCAAAACGTTGTGGGTCCCCAGAACTGGACCAAGCTCCCTGGTGAGGCCGGGGAGAAGTGGCTGCAGGGGATCCTGCAGGGCCTTTATCTTAGAAGTGGGAGCCAGGGTCTGGCCTGCCCTCTCCGTGCTTTTCTGTCATCTCTCACAAATTTCCTGAATTTTTCTTCCACAAAAACAGGGGTATTAGTCTGGTTGAGGAGAGAAAGCTCCAGGAGCGTGGAAATCCAGAGAGTACATGCCAACTGAGAGGGGCTGGGCATGTGCCGGGGCTCTTCCCTCACCCACGCCAGTTGATGGGCACAGGCCCCAGCACTGGCAGGAAACAACCCATCTGCATGCTTCTGCACTACTCCCTTCTCCCTGGACTAGGATGGTGAAGAATCAATCAATATTCTCTATTTTGGTAAGTTTATATCCAAATTCCTCTAAAAATTAATGTTGAAATAAATCTGCTCACATCAACAAGACTTCCTTTCCAAAAGACACCCTTTAAATACACTTATGCGGGTAAGGAAAATACTAGGGACAGCCACCAAGCTCAATGTCGCCAAGTCTGCAGAAGGCACGTGTCCTGCAGGCGTGGCCTCCTCTCCTGTTGCCCCATGTCTAATCCCAGCCTGAACACCCCTGGTACCAAGAGCATGGCAGTCGCTGCCGCCCTGGACGAGCAAGGAGGGAAATAGGAAGCCTGAGCCTCTCCAAGGAACCACACCAGTCTGTCCCAGCCAGCTCTGGGGAAGCACTAAAGGAACCCAGGAGCACGAAACTTTAAAAGGAGACCAGCCAGGAGGCCGTCCCGGCTTGGCCCCCACTTGAGCAGGTGTGCCAATCACCCGGGGAGGGTCTCATGAAGGTGCAGACTCCAGCCCAGCAGCTCTGGGTGGGGCTCCAATTCCTGCCTGCCATCTCACAGGTGATGCTGCTGAGCCTTGGACCACACTGGGAATCCAACCCTCTGTTGCCAAATGGAATGAGCCCAGAGAAGTGAGAACTTGCTGGCTGGAGGTCACCTTGCTGTTTGATAGATTAGAAGTTTTGGGTTCTGATCTTAACTCTGTCCACCAAATGCCTGTTCTCCAGTCTACACTGTGTGGTCCTTGGAAAGCAAAAGCCCCCAAACAAAGCAGATAACGGCAAACCCCTGACTCAGTTAAAACATTTAAGTAAACCAGTCACTGCAAAGGGCGAGGAAAGCTACAGGGAATTATGGCAACACCATACTTTAGCTACACCTGAAAGCCACCATCAACCCACCAATGCTCTGGTACTGTGACCTGTAGGCAGGGCAGCCACAGGTGGAGAGCTGGAAAGAACGCTGGTAACTGAAACAGTTCTATGCATCCTCATTTACACAGGCCTCTTTAGGCACAGATTAGGCACCATGCATCTTTGTGGCTAATCAGTAATGCATTTCCTCTTCCTTTCAATTATTCAATAAATGGATCTTACCCTTTAAGGTTTTTCCATCTTGACAATTTGTCTTACTATGCTTCTCTAAAATTGGCAGGAACACATTTTAAAATCATTTTATATTGCACTATGTGCTTTGAATTTGCCAAATGATGAGATTTGCTGGGGCTGAAGAAATATTCAAATTGACGAGTGTTATTTAAATGTTGTATTCATTACATTTTGGGGTTGGGGTTAAGCAATCTCGCTTCTTGCAATTATAAGAATAACACATCGTGGCTTATAATAAAAGATGCAAATAAAAGTTATACTCCATTGTGTATGGTAAAAAGGGCATTTACTGCATGTAAAATATAGACTGATGAACTTGACTCAATAAATTTTTTAAAAACCTAATGGAGGATTAGAAAAAAAAAGTGTTTGATTTTGATACAGATTTGATACAAGTGCCCTGAGAAATTGGACCCTGACCACCACCCCCCCACCCCCCCCGCGCACAGTACTGAGGATTGAACCCAGGGCCTTGGGCATGCTAGGCAAGCACTCTCCCACTGAGCTGCAGCCCCCACCCCATGTCGAAATTTTGAGATAGGTCTTGTTAAATTGCCCAGGCTGGCCTTGAATTTGCAATCCTCCTGCCTCAGGCTTGTAAGTACTGGGAAGATAGAGGTGTATCACCATGCCAGGAAATGGACCTTATTTTGTATCTCCTCAGTACAATGCAAACCCCATAATCTCTGGAAGGCAATTTGGAAACATTTAGTAAAAGAACAAATAGGGCTCCCTTGACTTGGTGGGTGTACAAGGATTTAGGTACAATGAAATTCAGATACAATGAAACAACACCATGGTTTAAGGTGCAAGTTTGGAAATGCCCCAAATGAGATCATTGGTAGATTCATACCATGGAAAAATTTGCAGCTTTAAACAAAAAATGCTTCGTGTACCACGTATAGCACATGCTGCCTTTGTAGAAACTGGAAAAATTAATGTGTGTGTATTTATATATAATTGTATTATTATAGCTAGGAACTGGATAGTGGGGGGACATTTTGCTTTATTGTATAAAAAAATAACTTAAATAAGCAAAAAAAATTGGTGGGGGGGTAGGGTATCAGGGACTGAATTTAGGGGCACTCAACCACTGAGCCACATCCCCAGCCTTTTTTCATATTTTATTTAGAGACGGGGTCTCACGGAGTTGCTTAGTGCCTCGATTTTCTGAGGCTGACTTTAAACTTATGATCCTCCTGCCTAAACCTCCCGAGCTGCTGGGATTACTAAAGGCATGTGCCACTGTGCCCAGAGAAAAATTTTAATGAATTTGAAAATAAAATGAATTTTGTGAAAAAACAAATCACTAAAACTGAATACAATAAACCCAACCATAAAAATAAACTAAGTACTAAATAATCAACACTGACCTATGAACAAATCATTCCTATCAGTTAAATGAAAAATCAACACAAAGTAATTTTTTTGCAGGGTTTCAACACTTATTGAAATTTCCAGGAATGCAACTACTATACTTTGCCACATCTGGGACTTCACCAGAAGTTTTTCACTCTTAGGAAAAACCATGACATCAACACAAGGCTGCTTCTGGGGACTAACTACCACCACCAGGTGGCCATGGTTGTAGCGGCCACGTTTACATGTCCTTCTCCACCATGAGCAAGCATTTATGTTGTTATGAATGACTTTCATTTACTTCTCCTTTATATTTCATTAGGGACTTACTTACATTTTGAATTATGTGTACAGATGGGTGTATCCAACTGTGTGTCATCCCAGCCAGTGAGACACTAGCATGTGTGACCAAATGCTAACCACAGGCACTGTGCACCACAGGATCTGGGTCTGGGAGGCCTGGTGGTGTGTTCGTCCATGATGAGCCACACACTTCTCCACGCACAAGCACAGTCACTGCCTCGCAAGGCAATGGACGTGGATTCTGGCAGGTGAAGCGCTACTGCAGTCCAGCACATAGTGGAGGCGCAGTGTCCCCAACCACTGCCAGGAGGTACGAACGACATGGGGTACCTTGGACAAAAGTGACCGCCAATAAAAATACAGCACACTGTTCTTGTTCTGGGTATGGTCTCAGAACTGAAAGCCATCTCTATAAGTGCACACGCGAACATGAGAAGTGGAAAAACACACCTGAAATGTTAACCAAATCCCATATCCAGGAAAAGACCACCACCTGTACCTCATGGACCTGTACTTTTCTTAACTCCCTAAATTTTCTGTAATGAACATATATTATTACTATGAAAG